ACTCCCTGCCAGGAGGGGGCAGAGAGGGGGGATGAGTCTCTGGAGCCAAGGCCCCAGCGCCAGGCCCCGAGGGAATGGCCTCAAGCTGCCCAGGGCAGGGTCAGGCTGGCTCTGAGGAAGGATTTCTGTGCAGAAGGGGCTGTTGGGCGTTGGAATGGGCTGCCCAGGGCAGGGGGGAGTCCCCGGGATCCCTGGAGGGGTTGAAGAGTCGGGCTGAGCCAGCGCTGAGGGATCTGGGGGAGTTGGGAACGGTCAGGGGGAGGGTCATGGTTGGACTGGAGCAGCTTCAGGGGCTTTTCCAACCTCTATTATTCTGGATTAAGTGCAAAGAAATTACTTGGCCTCTGATTTCTAGGGCCTGTGTTCAGAGAGAGATTTCAAGGTGGAATGTGGTGGATTTTCAAACCGCCCGGTGTACAGCCTGAAGCCTGTGCCGGACACCAGGTATGGTCACAAAGTCCTTCCAGGGTGTATAGGAGATGGAGAGGGGACTTGTCCACTCAGAGAAAGCTCCGTTTTCTTGCCTGCTTCCCAACCCAGCTGATCAATCATGCCAGCTCAGAGAGCAGTGTGGGTCTGGGTGAGGAGCTGCTGCCTAGTGACACATTGTGGTCCTCCTTGGCTTCTTCCAGAATTGAGCCACAGGGGCTGCTGACATAAACACTGGGCTCACCAGGCATCCCTCCCTACCCCATTTCTGACCAGTGGGGGCCCGTGTAGCTCCCTTGCTCTGCCTTTTCCATCCTTTCCTTCTGTATTTGGTGCTGCGCGGAGGTGCTCAGCAGGCAGAGCAGGATCCTGGCAGCTGCTGCCACCGCTCTGCTGCACCCCACATATGCAAGGTCAGAAGGTTTTTTCCTCATGTGGCTTGTAGACCAAGCAAACACGCCTCCCTCAGGCTGATTGATTTCACTCCTTCAGCTCTCTCCTCCTACATAAGCCTCTGTTGCTATTTTCGGGCTCTTTGCACTGTTCTTAGTCTGGTGCTTTTGAAAAATGTCTAATTAAATGCCGTTGCCTGTGACGGTGTGTAGAGCACCCTGGCATGAGGAGTTCTGGGATCATGGTCCTTATGGCCCATTCTCTGCTCCAAGCAGAGGCAAGAGCTGCTGAGCACAGGAAGAGCAGTTTGTCCCAAGCTGGGGAAAACAGCCTGTTTTCTGCTCCTGAAGAGTTTTGTGGGGTTATTTTTGTTTCCTCAGCTTGCTGGTGACAAGTGGCCCACCAGACACCTCCCTCCAGGTCTGGCAGGTGTCAGCAGAGGACTCTGGTAAGGGAACATCTTTATGAGCTTGAGTAGTTTCTCAATGTAGTCCTTGTGTCAAGCATCTCTAGCTTCCCCTTCTTCCTGGGTGTAAAATGAGGAGAGAAGTGCCAGTCCCATTCAGTGAAGCCCTGAGTGACTGCCTTGTGTTGCAGGGGCTGGAGAAGGGCATGAGACAAGTGTCAACACAATTCTGGTGGCTTGGAAAGAAGAGGCCTCAATAACACAAACCTCGTAAGGGAGTTAGTAGGTTTAAGCCTGTCACGGCAGCTTTCCACTTATTTGTGAGCTCTTTGTCATCCAAACAAAACCCCAAATTGTAGAGTCGACATTATGTTCCCCCAGTAACTCCCAGGGTTAGAAATAAAGAGCTCCATGCATCACCTTTTGGGATCTACCTCAGTTCTCCAAGCCTGTGTCTGCCTGCTTCTAAGAAAAGGATTGCTGTCGCCTGGTCTGCTCTTGTGAAATACATTGAAACCACCGGAAAGGAAGTGCAAAATGCTATTAGAAGTTTTCTTCTTTGTTGAAAATGAACATCTTGACTCACAACTTCCCATGCATTTTGCTAGATTTTTAAATGGCTGGTTGTCAGTCCTTGCTGGATGTGTTGGAAAGTGTGGTTTTATTCTGGAAAGGGGGTCAGTCATAATTGAATTTCTTAGGAAAATGGAGTTTTAGGTTTAGTAGGTCACTTTTAGCTTTGCGAGGGCGTCTTTGTGAAACAGCTTAATCTTGTGGATTGACTCCTGATGTGTTTTACAACTGCCTACATCTCTTTCAAATAGATGTTATTAAATCTGTCAGCACCATATCTACAGAAAATGGCACCGGGCAAACTTGGGCTAAAATTGCCACCATTTCGGCTAGAGCCCCATGGGTCCTTCACGGCTCGAGACTCAACAACATCCAAATTACAGAGGTTGAATCAAGGAAAAATGTCTACATGGCAGGTATTCAAACCAAGTCTAATGTCTGATTTTGGGAAGTCAGGTTTTGGGTAAAGCAAGGGCAGCTGCTTAAGGGGCAAACGTTTCACCGGGTGGGTAGACACATTCCAGACTTGTGCCAAAGGGTAGGAAGGTATTTGCAGAAAGGACGTTGTCTTGAGGAAAGAGGTTACCATGCTCTGCTCCATCTCCAGCTTCTTGCTGCTCCCACGACAGTGTTTTCGCAGGCTTCTACCCCAGATCTGTGCCCTACGAGAGCACTGTCAATGGTTTCAGTGCAAAGCATTGGGTTAGCAGAGGGCTACAGGGTGTGTTGTCCCCAGCGAGGGATGTGCTGGCCCCAGAGTCACAGAATCCCAGAATCATCTCAGTTGGAAAAGCCCTTGCAGCTCCTCCAGCCCAACCATGACCCTCCCCCTGACCGATCCCAACTCCCCCAGATCCCTCAGCGCTGGCTCAGCCCGACTCTTCAACCCCTCCAGGGATCCCGGGGACTCCCCCCTGCCCTGGGCAGCCCATTCCAACGCCCAACAGCCCCTTCTGCACAGAAATCCTTCCTCAGAGCCAGCCTGACCCTGCCCTGGGCAGCTTGAGGCCATTCCCTCGGGGCCTGGCGCTGGGGCCTTGGCTCCAGAGACTCATCCCCCCTCTCTTGTTCCCTGAGAAAGCAGATTTCCAGCTTTTTTCCCTGGAAGTGGCTTTCAAGCAGTGTTTGTTAGCTGTTCAAGAGCCCGCAGCCAACTGACAGCCTGCTCAGGAAGTCTCTGAACAGGATCCACATGGATCTGGCAGAGTCTGCACCCCTCAAAAGCTGATGTTAACACCCAGGCAGGCCCACGACTAAGGCTAACTCTATTTGAGCTCCTATGGGGACCCCCAAGAGTGCCTCCAGCACTACCCCCCAGCAGCAGGAGCCACACAAGCCCTGGGGCACAGGGACACAGCAGAGCAGTGAGAGACCTGCCTTTGGCTCAGCACGCTGCGTGACAGCCACTGGATGCACACAGACATTTTCCTCAGCGGGGGATGAGGTGTGTGGGGACTGAGTTTGACTGTGTAGGTGAGGGCAGATGCTCTCCAGGACCTGAATGAGCCACCTCGAGGTAAGGCAGGGCAAATGCTCCTCGAGGCACCTGAGATCTGCCTCATTTTTATTTTTTTTTCCTCTAGCCTCCCAAAGCAGCGAGGAGCTCAGTGGCCTGGCGTTCCTGGATGCCAACACCTTGCTGCTCTGCTGTGCCCGGGGGGGGTTGTGCCTGGCTGATGTTCGGCAGCCCCAGAGTCCCTTGGAGGCTGCGTCCGTCCCCTGGGCGCCGTGTGGCGAGCGGTGGTGCATGGGAGTCGGGCGCGGACCTCAAGGCTCTGACTCCCAACCCATTGCTTGCCTCTCGAGCCGGGGACGCCTCACCCTAACAGACATAAGAAAAATCTCCGAGTCCTTGGCCTCGGCAAAGTGCAAAGTCCCCTCGCCCAGCTCAGACGCGGAGTTCCTGTGCGTCTCCTGGGCTCCGGCTCTGGAAGGCTGCCTTGCTGTTTCAGGTATGTGCTTTGGGTAGAGATTTCCTTTTTCTGGATTTTTTTTGATCTGTATTTCCATCGAGGCCCATTTCATCTCACCGTTAAACGCCCTGCTTAGGGGGTGGTTGTTCAAGCTCCTGGAGCTGGTGTAAGTGTGAGCTCACCGGCCTCCACAGCTGCCTCTTCCCCCAACAACCACGGGAGGAGCCTGGATGGGTTTGGGGGGACTCCTGGGAGAACAAAGACCCCAAGCTCTCAGCAAACACCACCCTGATAGTGCCAGTGACAGCCTGGCCGCAGGAATAAGACCATCTGGGCAACAAAGCTGCCTTTTGGCCAGAGCATTACAAATTCAGACTAGTGAATCTGCAAGCTTTTTGGGTCTGGTCCGTGTTCTCCCCAGCAGGTGTTAGCTCGAGATGAGCTCCTTGGAGACTTTGGAGGTTCTGCTGTCACAGATTGTCAGGCCTTTGGCCTCATTTCTGTCTCGGCAGCCCTGTGGGGAGGGGAATGTGAGACTAAAGCAAAGCCATTTATTCCTACGGTCTCTCCGATTCCCTTTTATTCAAGGTTTTGATGGCACCGTGCACGTGTATGACGCGCAGAGCTGGGACAGCTCTGGCGGGGAAGCGGAGCCCATCTTTGTCCACAAAGGCCACGCGTTTGGACCGGGCAGCAGCAGAAACCCTCCCCTGGTCACAGTGCACATGTGGCACCCGCAGAAACCGAGAACTTTACTGTCGGCAGCAAGTGACGGTTCCCTGCACGTTTGGGACTGGGTTCAGTCTTGTGGGAAGTGTGGGTAGATGAAATTTTCGGTGAAGATGTGTTGTGTTTCCTGTCTGCGTTCTAGATTGCGTAGGCTGCGAGGTGTCTGTTTGCACCCAGATACTGGTTTGAGACAGTTTGTAGTGAACCGAGTTAACAGTTAAGAGTGCTGTTTGTTAACAGAGTGAAAAAAATTTGGTTGTGTTCTTGTTCTCCGGCGTGCCAGCCCTCAAATGACAGCTGGGACTTGTCGCAGTCGTGCCTGCTAGCGGAGAATATCCTGCCGTTGTTTATTGTAGAGCCATGTCATGTCTGCTGTATTTTTCAGGAGAAAACAGACAAAAAAACCACGAGCGCATTTTGAGGAAATGGGTTGTTCTGTGGCATATTTCACCCGCTGCTTTCCAGGCCTGAAGCAACCGGGGCTGGG